TTGACCCCCCCCCCCCCCCCCCCCTCATCTAACCTGCTCCTCCTCCTGCTCTTCCTGCTCTCTTCTCTTGCTCCTCCTCTTTCTTTATCCTGCTCCTGCTGCTCCTGCTCCTGCTCCTTTTTATCCTGCTCCTCTTTATCCTGCTGCTCCTGCTCCTGCTCCTGCTCCTCTTTATCCTGCTCCTCTTTATCCTGCTCCTCTTTATCCTGCTCCTGCTGCTCCTGCTGCTCCTGCTCCTCTTTATCCTGCTCCTCCTGCTCCTGCTCCTGCCCCTGCCCCTGCCCCTGCTCTCTCCTCTTGCTCCTGCTTCTCCTTTTCTCCTTGCTTCCACATCAACATTTTTTGCTGAGTTTCGTACCTACTCTTCAAGCTCTTCCAACTTTCAGTTCTCACTCCTTCTCGTTGCTCCTCTCCTCCTTCCCTCCCTTCTCCCCTCTTCCCCCACCCTCGTACACAGAAGCAATTTCTCCAAGATCGATCTACCCCTCATGTTTTATAAATTGTGCGGGAGGAGAGGAGAGGAGAGGAGAGGAGGAGGACATAGAGGACGGGAAGGAAGAGGAGAGAAGTACAGAGGAGGAGAGGATCGAAGAAGAGCGAGAGCAAGATCAGTGTAGGATCTTAGAACATCACAGTCTTTTGACATCGTTTTTGTTTCAAACGTCAACTGCCATCTCCCAAGTCCTCCATCCATAGCGTACAGATCCTGAACAGGAGTCTCGTGCTGGAGCCACAGCTGCCAGGTTGCAGGCAGAGAGCGGGAGGAGGAGGAGGAGGAAGAGGAAGAGGAGGAGCTGATTTCTTAGATTCGTGGGGCAGGAGGAGAGGAGAAGACGGGCAGGGCAACTGGCTTCACTGTAAAGAAAGACATGAGCAGAAGACAGGTTTCGATCGGTTTTCTGACGATAACACGTTCTAATGTGTGCAATGATCAGAGAGGAAAATTAGGAGGAGGAGAAGGAGGAGGAGGAGAAGGAGGAGGAAGGCAGAGGAGGGGAAGGGGGAGAATATAAGGATGGTCGAGTGAGAACAATAGAGGAGCAACGAAGAACACGTTGTTGAATAGGGTGCAGGCGATGAAAAGAAGGAAAGCAATACATGGTGATGAGGAGAGGAAAAGAGAGGAAGAGCGGAAGGAGACGATAACAGAACAGAAGTACAAAGGAGGCGATCAGAAGTTGAGGGAGAGAGGTAAGGAAGGAAACAGAGCATAAGCAGAGGAGGCGGAGGGAGGGAGGGAGGGAGGGAGGGAGGGAGGGAGGGAGGGAGGGAGGGAGGGAGGGAGGGAGGGAGGGAGGGAGGGAGGGACGGGGTGTGGAGGACGTGGACCGAA